CGATCCATAAACCAAAGCAATGATTAATTTCTTTCAGACTAAAATACTAAAGAAGCTTAATTATAAATCATATTCATTTATTAATAACATTAGTAAGAATGGGGTTTGAGTAATATCTCTCTAAAGCATAATAATAAGACATTGTTCAACTCAATCAGGTCTCAAGATCTCAACAAATCTCATTCAAGTTCTGATTTCATAAAACCCTAGATCGGTGTCAGAAACCAGATGTAAAACTAATACATTCCTCAAGCCAGAAATTGCATTAATGCAATTCACCATTTCACTTTTAATATCAACGATAAGTAATGGTAAACGATTAAAAAATGAAAAATATGTGCAAGAACAGATGTGAGAAGTAAAGCAACGTAAAGATACAAGCTCAAGAAACTCACGCCTGCCCTGAAGAATTCCATACATCCCACAAGCTGGGGCCTAACATGTCCATAACCTAAAAAAGAAAGTTTAAAACATAAACTTAAGGAAACAAGTTAGAAAAATGAAAACTATATGCCACAAAGGGGTGAAGTAGTTGACACACCATTACGTAATAGTCTCCTTGTCGACCCTTATAGTGTACTTTTGGTACTCCATGACTACCACCAAGGGCACTATTCAACAAAGTATCAGAGGTGAGCATTTACAAATACAACTTCTATCATTAAAAAAAACGTCCATATAACCCAGAAAATTACTCACTTGTAAACTTGCCATTCATATGGAGGACCATAATTACAACCTTTGCTATTTCTGTGTTCAAATTTCAGAGCAACCTGAAAATAAAATAAAATAATAAATAAAAGGTAAAAATATGAAGATACTTGGATGCTAACATATTAGAATTTGGCATATATGCATCAATTAATAAAAAATACTTCCAAATTTTTACCTCAATAGCTGCAGCACCAGTTGCACGATCATTTCCACCTGTAAGCCGACGACCAACGAATACTTGCCCAAATCCACCTTTACCCAGTTTTCTCTCTATTTTATACAGTGGTGACCCTCCTACTTGGACCTTGAAACAGGACACAAAACAGTAAATAAACTTACGATGAAACAGAAACTCTGAACACGGAAAATTCACTCTAAGTACTTCCATGACACGCCAAGCCCTAGAACTTTAAATTTTAAAAGTTCAGCAAAGTGGGTAAGCCAAAAATTTACATGTAACATTTACATGTAAGCACATTAGACATTATGCAACAACTCAAGTAGAGCTTAAAATTACAGTGGAAAGATCCTTCTGAAGTAAACCATGATAGGTTATCCCAGAGACTGAAGAAACAAATGCAGATGACTCAGAAGTCATAACTTTGACTGTCAGCTAAACTGTTAAATATGAGCACTTGGAGGTTAAATGTGGTTTGGCAGGAGATTGTCCCATGATATAAACATCCATGGTAACTGAATTAAAACTGATAAAATACACCGTCGGCCGAACTAAATTGTAAGGCAGACGCTCATCTGTTGCAATAACAAGACTAACACAGCACAATCAACCTAAAAGCACTTAGCCGAAACCCATAATGAGCAAAAATGGCAGATTAAAAGCAGGAAATAATCAGAAAAATCAAACTAATCTAGAGTAAATATCAAAAAGAGAAATACCTTCTCAGGAAAAGGCGCTGAACTACCCTCTTCCTCTATGCCAGCAGCCTTATTAGCACTCAAGCCGCCACTTTCATCCCCCATCGCACCCTTGTCTTCTTGTTCTTCCTCAAGCCCTTGCACCTTTCTGTCCTCCAAACCAGTATCCCTCTCAGATATAACAATCACCTGATCGTCCTGATTGTTATTTAATTCTTTAACTGCCAATCTTGTTCTCGGCCTGGGTCTCGCCTCCGCAGCTTCTCTAGCGACCGCAGCCCGTGTCTTGACGTAATTTCCAGGCCGCGGAGGCTCCTCGAAGCGATTCTGAACGATCCTAGCGCGGCCTCTGCGAAGCACCGGCATTGCTCAAACCCATAAAAAAGTAGGTGCGAAACAACGCCAATAATATGATCATTATCTTAGATTCAACAAAGCTCCGATATCGTAGACATGGCCGAATTTTGTGGGAGGGAAAATAAAAAATAAAAAGGAAAAAATTGGAGGAAAGTAGATGAGGATTCCAATAAAGAATCGGTTGAAGGATGAGTGAATACGTGAGATTGATTTCTGGATGTTGAGATTGAAAGGGGGCTTCGATTTGGGGTTAGGGTTTGACAAAAAAATGCGAAGCGGAGGAAAAAAAAAAAAAAAAGAAAAAAAAAGAACCGACTCCTCCTCGTCCCAACTGTACGATGACGTGGAATTAAGCCCAATCCCTGCTACTCATCGTATTATGTTTTCTGTGTATAAATATTTTCATTTTTAATATCTTATTTCTATTAAATAAATACATCATGTTTTGAATTCAAAATTTAAAANAAAAAAAAACAACAACATAATAATTAATTGAAAGATTTTATCCAAGAGGTTGTCTAGGGGCACAATCGACTTTACACTAAAATAATAAATAATGCACCAAAAAAGAAAAATAAGATTTTTTTTTTTTTTTTTGAATTTCCAAATTTAACAATGTTGTTGCGTATCCGAAATTTGATTCAAATTTTTTATGGAATTTCTTTTAAATTTTTAGTTAAATCGTCATACTACAAGTTTTGGTGAATTTAAATATCTAATTATGTTTTTTCTTAAAAAAATCTAATTTATTTGTTTTAAATTTTTTTTAGCCTTCAAATATTATGTGTATAAAATTTTTAATTTTTATAAATTTGATAAAATCTTCAATTTTGCAATAAAAAACAAAAAAAAAACAATTTACATTAAATTTTTTTTTCGTTTTCAAGTTTGGAATATGAGTTTTAATTATCAAATATTTAAGAATTTTTCTTATTTATTTATTTGTATGTATTTAATTTGATTATCAATCATTTTAGAATTTGATTCCCCAATTTGAAAGTTTTGATTTTTTTTAATCTAACTTTTTTTATTATTATTTTGCATTTTTAGTTTTAATTATATCATAATTTTAGTAAATCGTCTGGCTTACTTGTGTGTGAAATTTAATTGTTTTAGATTTTTTGTTTGTTTGTTTCTAATTACCAAAAAGCATGATATTTTTTAAAATTTGTTGTCCAATTATATCATACTTTATTTATCTTTATTTGAGATCTATTTTAATTACTCCATCATTTCGGGATTTATAACCCTATTTTGTTGGAGGCATTTTGGTATTTTCATAAATCTTATTAATATTCAAATATATTATTTAATAATTTTTTTAATAAAAAAAGTCAACGTCACAATTTAAATATTAGTGATGATTTGAATTTCTAATCAAAAATAATTTAAACTTCTAGAGTAAAAAAAACCTTTTAGGGTTTATTAAACATTAGAACAAACTAAATTATATAAAATACTCTTATTATTAGTCTAATTTTAATAATATTTCTAAATTTTAAAATTCTTTAAAAATATCATTCACTTTTAGAAAAAGTTTTTTTTAAAAACCGATTTTGTATTGAGAAGGTCAAAGTTTCATTAATTTCCTTTGACTTTGAAAAAAAAAAAAAACTTCGAAAAACATCTCTATGTAACTTCATCCATCAAAGACCAAGAGTTTAAAAACGAGCTTTCTTTATTTTATATTTAAATTCATAAAATTTAAAAACAACTAAATCATAACAACTCAAGCCCACTATATTGTGAGCTTTGCCCATTCGAACTTCCCCTCAAAATTTCTAAAATGTGTATGTTAGTGAGAGGTTTTCACACCTCCCCAACTAACGTGGGATCTCACAATTCACCTCTCTTCAAAGTCCAGTATTCTTACTGTCACTCGTTTTCCTCTCCGAGATCTCACATAAATTGTAACACTTCTATAATTTGAGTGTGTTATAATAATCTTTAGTTGCAGAAAATTGGTCGGGAAACAAAGTAAGCTTATTCACGGTATGGGTTAGCATCCACCAACAATAAGTACATCTTTCCTACATCTTCCACTATGGTTCACAGTTTATGGATCATCATGGCTAACGTATTGACAGATTCGTGAAAGTAAACTTATACGCAACCCCACACCAAAACAGCTTGTACATACCAAGCCACAGCCTTTTCAGCCAATTTCGCCTGGCTTAGGCACCATGCTCAAAGTTCCTCATATGATTGAACTCAGTCTTCTAGTAGCCCTCCTAAGCATAGCTTCAGAATTGATTTCTAAGGCTAACTTGGGTTGGGGAGATCTAAGGGAGTCCGAGATTTGGCTTGCCCTTTGACTTAGATCAACTACATGTGGCTAAACTCTGCTATTGAACCCACTTCTATCAAATGGCCAGTTTAAGTGTGGTATGAAAAAGCTCCCCAAGTATTTGAATGGGAAGCACATACCAGGAACGGAGAACATACGAAAGCTTTAGAATATTATTTTCGAGCACTAGAGCGAAACTCATTCTTACCATAAGCTTTTAATAAAAACACATCCAAGAACATATCATAATAATCCATCGTCAAATATTTTCTTTTTATTACTTTGGCTCAAAATGCTTCAAAAGGCAGCTCGTAACTAATATACCATGCTACATAGTTTCCTAGCCATAGATTACCAGCATTCTACATGGTTTCATGCCTAACATCCATGAGCAACTTTTTCCTTTCTGGTATATGAATTTCATTACAAGAACAAACGCCCTAAACTTTGTATTTTGAATACCAAGTAAAGTAAGAGGATATATATATATAGATGGTGGGCGTACCTGTATGTTCACCAATTTGGTTATGGAGATTGGAATCGGCTCTGAATGGTCCAAATGGCTCCTGAGGTTGCCCTCATCAGCCAGCCCGAACAGACGAGCAAATCAGCACTCACAGGCGTCTGATGACAAACAAAAAGCGAAGTGGTTGGTCATCTCAAAGCTTACTTCCCACTTAAGCATTTCGTCGAACAACTGGTACGCACAATCAAGTGATTGATGACTAATGAGCGTCGTTATGGTTTTCTACTAATAAATTATTTAACTTGGAAGCTAAATTTGATTCAACTGGATAGTGGAATTACTATTCGGTCTCGAGTAGAAAAAACTGGACTTTCTATTTTCATTAATTGTTCGAAATTCCACCACGTGATCACATCATGAACCAAGAACAGACAGAATGTAAAAAAAAAAAAAAAAACATCATTTTCATCCCATTTTAGAAGAGTTCTTCGATTTCGAAACAGAGAATTGGAAGGGAGGTGGTCGGAGCACGGCTTCCTCTGTCTCAATTGGATCTGACCTTCGTATCTACAACAAAAGACAAAAGAGGGAGCAAAAGAAACGGGAACAATCTTCAATTTGTGCACATTCATACAACAAAATTCAAGAACAAACCAGAATGAAAGAATTAGTAGTAAGAATTAATCTGGGAGAGAAGGAGAGAACCGGATCTTGGAGAACAAGTTTGGTGTCATCTTTAGCAGGCCTGAACGGCGGTTTAAGGGGCCTGTCCTTGCATTCTGCAGCATTCGTTGGATTGGTTGGAGTTGAAAGCTCTGAAGTTCTCATCGTCACTGGTTGAAGCTTCGAAAGGTTCATCGATCAGAAATTTGCAGTTTAATGGCCGATTTCCAAATTTTCTTCTTCGTCGGGGATAATAAATAAATAGGTTTAAATTTTAAAATGTTCTTTTTATTATTTCATCTTAATGTTTTATATCCATTTTTTAGTGACCAAAAATATTTTTACTTTTATTTTATTTTACATTTTTACCCCTCCCATTTTTTTATTTTATCTAATTCCATTAAATCCAAACTTTCAAACAGTACCCTCCAAATATCTCTGTTGTTTTTGTTGTGGGATTTGTTGTACGATGAAAGTCACAAATCAATTATAGGTTTATAATCAAATAATACTCTCTCATTAATATGAGGCATTTTGAGAAAGCCGAAAACAAAGCATGAGAAATTATGTGATAAAGAATCACCCTTATCAATATTTATTAGAAATAACTATTTTTAATTTTATAAATAATGTAAAACTTAAATGGTTATGGTCAATTTCACTTATTATTCTTGTGTAGATTAAAGGCGATCGGGAATAAATCCCGTGCACAAACGTCTTTTGTCTGAAAATTATAAATACCTATGTAAAATTTAGATTCGTGGATGAATGTAATTTATATCTCAAATTGAGACGGTTCCTTCAGAAAATCCCACCATCATATTTGTCATTTTTAAGTTTTAAATAATTATTGTGGTAGAATTGTACGAGCTCTTAAATCAAGTTAGATTGTAGAGTAACTCAATTTAACAAGGGATCGTTAGGCTGAGTGTGAATGTTTGATTAATCCACCACACCTAAATGGTGTGAAAGTTATCTTATTTATAATCAAATAAATTACAAGGATATGGAAATAGTAATAAATAGGAAGATACGTATGAGATATTTGCCTTATAATAAAATATCAAATATAATATATATGGTAAACTATAATTTATTACTAAATATCCTTAACACCTCACCGCAAGCTAAGCGTTGGATTTAAACGAACGTGAAGCTTGAATCTGAAAAATTCAAAGAGGTTGAGAAACACTTTTCATGAAGATGCTAACAACCCGGTTCTTGGTCATCAAAAATTGCAGAGGGATCGCCGCTCAGCGGCGATGCTGCCTTGGCTTCGGCGAGAATATGTCTAACCCATGAAGAGGGATTGTCGCTAGCGACGATGCTGCCTTGGCTCTGGTGAGAATATTTCTAACCCCAAGAAGTAGAAGGGGAAACCTAGAGCGACGATGCTGCCTTGGCTCTGGTGAGAATATTTCTAACCCCAAGAAGTAGAAGGGGAAACCTAGAGCGACGATGCTGCCTTGGCTCTGGTGAGAATATTTCTAACCCCAAGAAGTAGAAGGGGAAACCTAGAGCAACGATGCTGCCTTGGCTCTGGTGAGAATATTTCTAACCCCAAGAAGTAGAAGGGGAAACCTAGAGCAAGGGACAAAGACAATGTTGAAGCCGGAAGAGTCGCCACATTGGGCGAAGGAGCCAATTTTTGCGAGAAGGGCAGTCAGAAGAGTCGCCTCATCGGGAGAAGAAGCCAATTTTGGCAGGAAGGGCGGCGGCAACTTGGTTGACAAATAGGCCAGTGCGGCACCCAGATTCCGAAAGTAAATCTCTGCAAAAGGTTGATAGGTTTAGGTTAGAGTTTATGTGAAGGATGAAGGTTGATTGGGAAGAAAATGAGAGAGACTATATTGGCCAAGGGGAAAACCGATTAGGTTGGAAAAGGTGAGGTTGTATGTACAGAGTATGACGAAAGGTGATTTGGAGGTCAATAGGGTGGAGCCAGAGTAATCAATCGGCTCTGCCTGCGGCAGCTATGAAGACTGCCCCTGCGGCGTCAAAACCAGAAGGGGTGGTGGAGAAGAAGATTAGAGGATTTAAAAGCCATTGAAAAGAAAGAATCGGTGTTGCTAAACCTAAATGGCTCTGATACCATGTGAATGTTTGATTAATCCACCACATCTGTGAAAGTTATCTTATTTATAATCAAATAAATTACAAGGATATGAGAATAGTAATAAATATAAATAACAATAAATAGAAAGATACCTATGATAATAAGGCAAATATTATATATTTGCCTTATAATAAAATATCAAATATAATATATATGGTAAACTATAATTTATTACTAAATATCCTTAACACTGAGGATTAGGGTTGTCTTATCCTCAGATGGGAAAATATCATATCATTATGGAGAGTCGTGTTCATTTAACACGGAATGATAGTAAGCAATGACGTTGATGATCATCTACTTTTATCTATATCCAAGAGCAAACAGGCATTTTGGTGAAGAACGTGTTTATTGAGTTAAAAAAATAAGAACAAAATTCAGCCTCGAAATCAAACAAACCCACATCGGAAATAAATAAAAATCCCATCAATAATGCAACACATAAATATTATATTCAACGACGGCATCCAACGAGGTAGCGTTGAAAAACTGAGTCCTCGCCTGAGCATACCCTCTCGCAAATCGGAACCGCCCGCTTCCACCGACCACCGGCATCTCTCGGACAGTGTTGAGAATGGGGTTATGGCCAAGGATAGCGATGGAGCTGCCGTTGTACTTGCCGGAAGTGAAGACGAAGTTCATGGCCATCAAAAGCCCAATCTCGGTCTGTGCGGCAGAGGCGTAGAGGCCCTGTGACCTCCCCACCAGCTGGGATTTGGGGTGTGGGCCGACCGTCAATGGGTTGTCGAACATATTCACAAGCCCAAACAACGTGGTGTTGCTGAGCCCTGGCAACACCGCGATGCTGGTGGGCTTATTCCCGCCCACGACATCGTGCCAATACAAATGAAAATGGGTCAGCTTCTCTTTCTTCAGCCGCAACATTTTGGGGTTCAGGTTGCTGGTGAATGAGTACTCCGCCGCCATGGCTGAGCTCATGGCCATGGAGAACAAAAGAAAGCACGAAATGGCGAGTTTAGCTGCCATGGCTGCCGGAACAGAGCAAAATTTTGGGGTTTGGCAGATGAGGAAGCTAGAAGGGTAGAGTGGGTATATATATACACGTGGCGAGTCAGAGTCGCCAGCTGTGGGAATACGACTGGAGGTGTGAATTGGACTAAATTGGCAGACCGATCATTTGTCGTTTTTTCTTTTTGGCTATAATTATTATTTTTTAAAAGAATAAATTTTCATACTCATTTAAATTTTTGTTATACAAAATTTAAATATATTTTTTTAAATGAATTAAATGGAAAATTTAGATTAGTAAACTGAAAAATAAGACACTAAATGTCAAACATGGCTTCTTTGAATATTAGAAAAGTCAATGATAATATACTCTGTTTTTTCTAGATGGATTTGATTGGTTGGACTTTTAAATATTAAAAATTCAATGAATTTGATTTTTGTTTTTAATAATTTTAATTTCTTTTAAGAAAAAAATAAATAGATAATATTTCTAAAAAATTATTGAAAAGAATAAAAATATTTCAATTAAATATTGGCAAATAAATCAATAAATATGTCGTTATAATAATCATTAAATAGAAAGTGAAATGCTGCCTAATTTTGTTCTTTTACATAGATAATCACGTCACAATTGAATAATTTCTTTAATAAAGTAAATTAAAATTAGGACGTCATATTTATGAAAACAAAATAAACCAAAGTTAGGAGGGTGTCACTTCATTTGCTATTATTTTTTACCAGTTTGTGAGAGATTGAAATTGACTTGCATGTTGGTGAACGTAACATATGGTTTGATCACATATCCATTCTAAGTAATTTTTCATACAGTCAAGCTTTGATCTATGAGCTTAGTAGATGCTCATCACACTCACCTACATTCTTTAGAGTGGCCATTTTGGGGCCTTAATGGGTGATCCCGGCTGATTTAGTCCATGCAGCACTTGGACTAACTAAGAACTACAAACACCTGATGCGGTTTGACAGTTCTCATCTAGGCAGATTGCTCCCCTGTTGTTGTGTGCCAGACACAGATGTAGGAGAGAACGGATCATAAACTTGCTGCCCTCCGGAACTTGGAGGTGGCTGGCCAGAAACAAATGTCAGATTGCCACTGTAGTGTGGAGGAGCAAACCGGACATCAGATCGAGTAGCTTGCATGAGGAAACCTTGTTCAATTTGCATATGGTTCCCTGGTCTGTGAGGAAAATTGCCCACCAAATTCGGCATTTGCATTTGCATACTTGGTCTAAAGTTTCTCTGATGCAGTTGTGTCCGAGGACCTGGGTCAAGGAAAGCAGGAAGCCTAGTTGAGACCTCTTGGATTCGATGATTACCAATCTGGCTACCAGCTTGGGGTCCGGGAAATGGTTGATTCCCAACTCTGGGAAAATTTGGGGCAGCCGGATGGAAAGATGGCGCCCCAGATGCAGGCTGCTGCAATGAAGGTACGCTAGGTGAGTTTTGAATGTTCAAATTGAGCATTGGTTGAGCAGACGGGTTTGGTGGACCCCGTGGTTGAAATGTAAAGTTACTTGTATTTGTAGGTGGTGTTGGACGGGTTAAAGCAGATCCAGCAATGAAGTTACCAGCTGGGTTATGTGCTGTTGGGGGTAATAGTGCTGAAGGAACTGAAAATGGTGGGCGATGCCCTATATGGGGTGACGGAATTGGAGCCTGGGGGGTGGATGGTCCAGAAGGAAAAGATGCATATGCATCCACATTGGCTACTGCTGTATTTGCAGGTACTGCGCTAGAAGAATTCACACCCTGCAGTGGAGCTGCACGAGGTCCTAAGGGTGGGGGAAATGATAGAGCCGTCTGTCCCATGTTATTTGGACCCTGCGGTGGAGGGTGTCCAGAAAAACCAGTAGAAACTGTGCTAGGAGGTGCCAAAGGGCGATCAGGCAGTGATCCTGAAGGAAGGCTATTGGGAACATGTTGAGGAAAGGAAGAGGGAATTGATGACCCTGGCATATTTAGGAGTAGACCTGAAGGTAATGGACCACTGCCAGTGAAGTTTGGATTTGAGACGCTAGATTGAACCAATGAAGGCCGTTGAATTGTCAAAGGATGAACCCCAGGTTGACCAACATGACTGGGCTGAGTCATGAAAGGTTGCTGCATGTCTTGTGCAGGAAACTGGTGTCTGGGAGGATGAACAGGGGGGGGCCGGAAAGCTGGGTTGAAAGGAATTGGAGTAGGTGGGCGTGACAAATGGATCGGGTTGTTCGTAATTGATGGAGGATTTTGTGGGGAAATAAATCCAGGAGCAGGCGTTAAATTGTGAGAAGGGCCCCTTGGCAACCATGTGTTAGGATAATGAAACTGCCCTTGTGCTGAAGTTGGCGCATAAACCTCTCCTTGTTGCATAACCCCCTGGTTTGGCATAGGAGTTTGCCCAACATTTGATACCGTACCCTCGGCTCGGGTGGAAGAACTTTCCTGCCTAGAAACCAAATCGGACGATGTGGGACCAGTGGCCAAATTTCCCTGTGGGAAGAATTCGAGGAGTTATAAATAATGAAAATAAATTATCTCAAAGTAGATGAGAACCGTGGAGATTATCTCATTTTCTTAAAAGAAATTGACTAACCAATATTGAGGTGATTAGGAGTTCTATAACAGAAATTGCAGCGTCGATCTTATCAAATGTATCAGCTGACATGCAGACATACAGCTCTTCATAACCACTCTGAGCTTCGTGTCCATCAGTTGGTTTAATTTCGTCCTGTAAAAAGAAGAGGGGCGGGGAGACACAAGGAGTAAAACTGTGAGATCTCACATCGATTGGAGAAGGAAACAAGTGCCAGCGAGGACGCTGGCCCCGAAGGAGATGGATTGTGAGATCCCACGTCGGTTGAAGAGGGGAACTAAGCATTCTTTATAAGGGTGTGGAAACCTCTCCCTATCAGACGTGTTTTAAAACCTTGAAGGGAAGCTCGAAAGGAAAAACCCAAAGAAGACAATATCTAACAAAATTAAATACCGGCAAAATCAAAAAGCCCTGAGGTGACTTCAAACTTCAGAGCCATTCTCACAGAACAGACTCTAACTTCTAGACAAAATAAACAGCCACAGTTTGATCTAGTGAGTTTTGGAACAAATAAAAAGTAAAAGAGACTTCTGAAGAGATTCTTGACGGCTAAAAAGCCCTGAGGTGCTCTTATATTTTGCAGTAAGAATAAAAGATTAGAACAAGATGACACGCCCTGAGGTGCTCTTATATTTTGCTGGTATAGACTGTGTATAACTGTGTATAACTGTGTATAACTGGTATAGACCTTTGAATTTCATGAGTCAAAGGGATCACCTTTTCACCTGTCCCAGCTCTAATACCACAAATTTGTATTTTGGCTCCAGTTTCCTGACACGTTCAATAAGTCGAAATATACATTAAAAGTTGAAGAAAAGGGAGATAATCTTTAGCAAAACATTTCATAGTCTAGTCTAAAATGATTTTCTTACCTTTTCTAATCGCTTTTGATTTTCCCCACTGGGGCCGTATATTAAGCCAATAAAGTTGTAATCAGGATATTCTTTAACCTGCAAGGTAAATTCCACATGGTTATGGAAATAATAACTTATAACTAATAAATGTAGGGAACTGAATGGATGACTGAGCAAAACTCTCCTGTGCATTAGCAAAACATGAACTTGTTTCTTTTCATTTCTTGTGTTTAGATTTACATACTAGAGTTATTCAGCAGTCTTGACTAGGCTACCTTGTGAAGTGATTCGAATCACGAGTTTAAAAACGAGTTTTTTTTACTCTGGATCTTGATCATCAAGATAATCTGCTCGAAAACTTTTCCTTGGATTGGTTCCTTATTGTTTTTTGGATTCTTGGATAATTGAGATCTAAAGGTCTTATTCTTCAACAAGGTTGTTAGATCAAACTCCAAACACACAGCTTGGCACCAAAAATGACTAGAGGAGAATACCAATCTCATAACCCAAAAAGGAAGCTCACCTGGACAGCCTATCTTGATCACAATTAACTCCAATAACAGAAAATTGACCTCTATTAATCTTCAGCTCAAAAATCGACTCGAAAAAGGACAAAACCCGATTGATATAAAGAAAGAAATCCTCATTGCACAAGCAAGAAAGATAGTATCACATGCAAACTATAAGTAGAATATGTGTAAACTATTCCGACCAAGCTAAAGACCATCAACTGCACCTACCTACCCCTGCAAGATCAATCTCCTAAGGAAATCCACCACCAAAAGGAAGATAACGGATCCCTCTAGAAGCTAGAATCCTGCCCCTTGGTCTACTACTAATAAGGATAAGCACTAAACAATCTTGATGCAATTTCAAAGTTAGGAACACCACTTAAAACCAAAGTATTTCTTCCCAAGACAAGGAAATATCAGCTGTAATGGTGGGCAGGTCTCATGAGGACTATGTCGACCATCAGAATCAAATGAAGGTTGCAGCAATAAATTGGTAGCAACAATTAATCCTTATCAATACTCTTTCTTGTCACTTTATTACTTGTTAGAGGCACATGCACTAGCATTCTTTAGTTTTTTTTTTTTTTTTTGCAACAGATTGTTCAATTATAAGTTCTTAGAAATAAACGTAAGCTGAGCTTAAGCATCGTTATAAAATGTCCTTAATGATAATCAATAGTTCATGGGCTCAAATCCTAGGGAGCCTCCTTAGAAGGTAGAATGTTCAACTTTAACATCAAATAACATCACTAAATACACAATATACATATTCCATTAAGTGAAGGAAAATAAACAATCTCCTAACATGATTTTATTTATAAATCAAGTGAATGATCGTGATCCTCATGTAATAGGGGTATAAAAAGATCATGATTGACTTGTGAAAATAAGAATAACAGTGCTATAATTAGAAACCCTTCCAACTATGGTTATAAAAAGAATGAGACTTAAAACATATAGCTATCAGTAAGGGAAAGAGTAAATAAAATAAGAGGTTAATATGTTTCTCGTTTCTATGGCATTACCAAGCACAGAAGAAAGGTAATCCGAGACCAATCTTACCGGGAGAAGTAACTTGTCTGCTTTCAACAAGGGCCTATAATCAGGAGGGGCCTTATAACTTGGATTCAGTTTTAGTATTTCACCTGTATAATAATGATAAAAAATAAAAATAAAAATCTATAGATAGCATTCAAAACTCAAATTGAGAGCATAATAGAAACAAGACACTAACGAAGCATACCAATAACTTCACGTTTCTCAATCTCCAAAAGTTCGTTGTTTCGCACCTGTATATTATGATTAAGGCATACATCAAAATCATACAGAGAGAAAACTGTCCCTGAAAGTAATACGAGCTCTGAATTTACCTCATTAGTTGCTTGGGAACCCAGGGAATCATCAACATTCTCAGCTTCTATTGCTGAATCTTGTGTCTCTGGAACCTCCAGGGTTCCAGACTTAAGGAGTTCCATGATTTGTTCCAATCGAGTCTGCTCAAAATATGTATAACCATAGAGGCAGTTATGTCACTAAGTAGCACCTGGATGGGAATGTTCCATGCGAAACAGTCACACGGAAGACTAACATTTTAGCACCAAAAAAGAAAAGGGGAAATTCAATGGTAGCAAATTGACAATATTCAACTGTATGAAAATGGGTCAAAGATGGCTTCAAAAGAATAACATATCAATTCAAAGAAAAAACAAAGAAATATGTGTTCAGAGAGGAAGTTAACAAATCTCCTTTTCTTCATCCACAGATGATCTTATTTCAAGCCATGTTGACTGGCATCTCAACATTAAGTTACTGGTAAAGCAATAACTGGCCTAAATGATACAAATAACGCAAAACATCATCCCAAATATTAGAAGAGAAAAGGCTTAGGATTGAGATACGAGAAGGATTTTATCCCATATTATACCTTGAGATATGAGTAGGAATTTATCCAAGATACACAGTGATAGGGAGGTGTGACACTTCAAAAGCTCCACAAAATAAACAAAATAAAGGCATTTTCTATTGACTTTGAGTTGTGCCTTTAACACGTGGCATGGATACATGGATACATAGAAAAGGAAAAGAGAGAGTGCTCCACAAATACCTGATAAGCTATGAGCCTCCCCCTTCTAACTGCAGAATCCTGTGTTAGATCAGGACCCCACTTTGTTTTTCTTTGAGACTGTTTCTCATTATCTCCATTAGCTGATTCATTCCCTCCCAACTTCTTGTTCACTCGAAAGACGGGAACCAAAGATCCTGAAAGCTTGTTTTTTGGTATAACAAACCCAGTCTTCGCTGCAAACATGGAAACCTTTTGGCTTCCCATTGGTGCAGCAGATGAATTAGTTGCTCCAGACATCTTCGCATTTCCCGGTTCAATATGCGACGTCTTTTCAACCTCTGCACTCATATTGTTCACCAATCACCTAAACAACAAAAGATATATCATATGTGAGAAAACCTCAAGTACAAATAAACTTGTAATTGCCTCAAGTACAAATAAACTTGTAATTGCCATTTTACACCCTGTGTAAAGTATTCATGAACAATAGAACAAAGGAACAAGAAACTTGCATGACCCCGCGTATACATATATTATAACGGTTCAAAGAATGAAATGTGGGTAATAGGGAGGGGGTAACTATCCAGGGAAAAATTCTAGCTTGATGCTTAGAAAATTGATAAATGTAAATAGCTGAGCTTGCCATAAATATATATAACTTTCATGTGTTCTTCTCACCATGATGAGGAGAGAAAAACTCAAATCCCTGGTGGATACAACAAAAACAAAACAAAACAGAACAGAACAAAAAATCCCAGATATTTCCAACAAATAACGCCCTTAGCCAACTAAACTGCAGCGATTGCCTATTTACCAGTCGAAGCTGAACCTGCCACTGCAAGGAAACTCGATTGTGCTTCGATTTACACTGAACAACCATTTTAGTCCGCATAGCACACACAATATTATAATCACATTGACGCATTCTCTAGAACACGATATTATTCCTGATCGTGATTCATTTAGTCAGAAAATGATATTTTTACAAGAAAACACCTCCACCCCCAGATTGCAAATCTTAGCTGCTGGTCTCAAAGACAACGAAGTTCTAGCTCCCATTGGAATTACATGGCTTAATAGAGAATGATCATGCAAAACAAAAATTTGTAGCTTACTTCGAGGTTGCACCGGCGACAAGGGGGCTAAGAATTTGACAATTAGAAGTCCATTTTCTTTACCTTGCCCCAAGTCATCTCAACAACCAAACAAAAACTAGGCAGTAGAGAGATGAAAATACCTGAACCGCTGCGTTCTTCAAAATTGAATCCACAATGAAGAATTGCCGCACTTACGAGAGCACACGAAGTGCTCCGGGAAATAGCTTCAGTCAGAACAGAACAATGTTTCTCCCGTCCGGCACCTTTGTTCACAGCTCACTGGGCCGACCCGGTTAATATCCAACGTAAATAGACCCGGGCCTAATCCATACAAAGTGGGCCACATGTCTTGGCCCAATTATTTTTGGGCCTATGTGTTAACTAACCCGATAGTTTAAAGGTCAATTGTGGCAAGTAGCTAGTTTATACCCGAGTATATTCGGTCAGCTCCCCCAACCTAAGTAGCTCTTTAAAAATAAAAAATAATAAATAAATAAAAAATCAAAATTTCCGCCGCAATTTATCTAATATTTTTTAAGATAAAAAAGAATATAATTAAACTTTTATAACGTCTAAAGCCACGTCTAGCCAATACCTGCTTTGGCTCGTTATGTATCGCAGTCAATCTCACGATTTTAAAATGTATCTATTTGGGAGAGGTTTCTACACTCTTATAAATAATGTTTCGTTCTCCTCTCCAATCGACGTAGGATCTCACGAAAAAATAAACTTAATTTTCAACCACTAAATCTAAATTAGTAAAATTGATATAACGGATAAAATATATAATATAATGGATAGTTCATAAATAAATAAAAATAAAATAATAATAAGTTATTATAGTTGTAGACAAAAAAAGATTTCAATTTTGTAAGGGTATGGTTGTAGATTATTAAAATTGGAATTAATTTTGGGTAGGACATTATTCACTTGCCGGCAGTTCGGGTGGACAGACAGGGTGGCGTGAATGACCGACATTATCAGCATAGACACGCTTGTCGGATAAATCGGAATTATTACGTACAAAAAAACATTAATTCCAAACAAAAATAAAATAAAATTTTAAATTCAAATAATTATCAAATTTATCGATAAGAAATAAGTTGTGGCTCGGTTTTCTCTCTCTCTTGTTTGGTGGCTTGATTTTCTTCGTAATTCAATTTTACTCCTAACATAAAAGTGTGAAAATTTTAATTTTTAACCTAAAAAATAAGTTACTGCTGTCGTTTGTCAATTATTCTAAAATTACTTATTTTCAATTAAATAATTAAAAAATCAATTTTTTAAAAGAACAAATATATTAGAAATTAAAATCGAAAAGTTTATGATAAATTAGTCGAAATGAACCAAATAAATAGTAAATTCTTATTATTAATGGCAAGACGACATCTAAGGTTGTTGCACGTTGCAACATGTATATATGAGAGGTCTCTTACGCATATATTGTGGCTACCTAATTAACCTACCTGTATGGCAAACATTTAATGAGGTTTTTTTTTTTTTTTTCAATTGTTTTTAATAAATATAAAATTTAAAAAATATTGAATAAATCAATAATTTATTAGTGAACTTATAATTTTGGTCCCTAATTTTAACAATTCTATTCATGTGCTTTAAAATTTATTTTTAACATAATAAATTAATTTAATTTTTACGAACTTTTGTAATTTTAATATAATGCATTTATTATTTTATATAGGCGTTAGATTATGGTAACACAATAGAGACGTATTAATGCATCTTTGAAAAGCGTACAATTTTTAAATTTTGAGATAATAGATTAAAAAACACAAATTTAAAAATATTATTTATTTATATAAAATTATAAAAAATGTTATTCTCGGATATTACATAAAATTGTAAACTTTTTAAGAGATAACTTACTAATATTATGGCCCAAAAAAAAAATACTAATATTATTAAATTTTTAATTTGGCGTTTAATAGATATTTAAATTTTTACTTCTCAACTTTATAATTATTAAATGTTTTTGACCTATTGAAATTCGCTTTTAAAGAAATAACAGGTAAAATATAAATTAAATATAGAAAAATTAAGACAAGCACACAAGAATTTGAAGTAAGTGGAATCCGTGTAAATCAGCAAGGACCATCTTGCAAGACTAAATACTTTTGGGTGGCCGATAGTGAAGTAGTACCGTGAGGGAATGGTGAAAAGAACCCCCATCGAAAAGTGAAATAGAACATGAAACTGTAAGCTTTGAAGCAGTGGGAGGAAACCATAACTCTGACCGTGTGCCTGTTGAAGAATGGATCGAAGTCAATATAATTTAATAATGCATAAAATTAAATTATATATATTTTTAAAAGAATTTAAGTTATAAGTAATGAATGATAAGATAATCATGAAGGTAACGAGTGGTCACAATAAGTGCTAAACCAATCACTACCACCCACTCTCTTTAATTCCCGTTCACCATAAAAACCCACTGCCCCTCCTCCCCGCCCACTCCGCCCATTCCGCCCAATTCCCAGTGCCACCGCTCCCTCCAAAGCAATCATGACCTCCAAATCGCCTTCAACTAATTTGGCTATGTCATGCGCCCTGGCGCTGCTCTTCCTGGGCTTGGTGACCTCAAACGTAGACCAGGACAGAGCCGAGTGCACAGACCAAGTGGTCGGGCTAGCGACTTGCCTGCCGTACGTGGGCGGCGAGGCGAAAGCGCCCACACCTGACTGCTGCAGCGGCCTCAGGCTTGTGGTTCAAAAGAGCATGAAATGTCTCTGCGTGCTGATAAAGGACCGTAATGACCCGACTCTGGGACTCAAAGTGAACCTTACGCTCGCTCTTGGACTACCTAATGTATGCCACACCCCGGCCAATGTAACAGATTGTATCGGTAATTGATTCGTTCGTGATTCATATGTTGTATCATTATTGATGTAATCTTTGACGTTAATTGTTGGAGTACGTGAATTACAGGGCTTCTCCATCTGCCACCCAACTCCGCCGAAGCCAAGGATTTTCTGGGGCTGAGCGCCAAGGGAGCAAATGTTACATCTGCTCCCGCTGGTAACGATACTTGTTAATTTCTTTTAGAGTAAGAACGAGAAACATAAATGATTAGAGGTATTTCATAATAGAGTAGTAATTAGATGTATTTCTATTTGATCTTGACATTAATTAATCGTTAACGTATGCTAATTAGTCTAACGAAATATGTTTTAATTTGTTGCAGCGAGTAGCAATCCCACACAAAAGCCTGAAGTAAAAAATGACGGTGGAATGAGAAAACAATGGGTGGGGGTCGAGATTTTTATTTCATGTATTGTTCTATTCACTTCTATTTGGTAGTGTACCATTTTTAGTTCTCTCAAACTCGAAAAAATAAAATAAATATTTCATTAATTAATCATGTGATAATGGAATTATTATCCGTTTTTTTTATATTGTTATAGAATAAATGTTTTTTAATTTTATCAAAAAGTTGTACAGTTTATAGTTGTTTTTCAAATAAATTAATAACACTATTTTTTAAAAGTTCAAGAGTACTTTTGTATCAGCTTCACAATTTTAAAACACAGAGGTTTCAAGGAATGTTTTATTCTCCTCTCTCTGAGATCTTACAATCCAACTCTTTTGGGGCTCAACGTTCTTGCTCGCACACCGCCCCGTGTCTAACTTTGCTACAATTTGTAAAAGTCAAAGTCCACCACCAGCAAATATTATCCGGTTTGGCTCATTACATATTATCATCAACCTCACGATTTTTAAATGGGTCTACTAGGGATCTCACAAATTTTATTAATTCAACCTAATATAACATTATGTATGCGTGTGTTTCTATTGTTATTACATAATATTTTTTTTATTATATTGATATAATTTTTATTTTAGAACAAAATAATCCTTGACGACTCCATATGATATATGATGATGTTTCTAAAGATAGCATATGGTCTTTAAAATATTAATTCAATCAATCACATATTATAGAACACGACAAATTTGGATTGAAGAAATTGTGTATCTGAAGATTTCTTGTCATCTTAAAACGCTTCTTCAATCAATCAAATATTATATAACATGACAATCTAGAAGACAATTCGCCATTATTATTATTATTATTATTATTATTATTATTATTATTATTATTATTATTATTATTATTATTATTATTTTCAACCACAAAAATTTTCATGATTAAAATGGGACGGACGAATAGGAAAATAATAAAATTAAATCATAAAATTAATTTTTTAGAACATAATAAATAAGTGAGTAATTTCAATAATGTAAGATTTAAATATTATATTTCTCCTAATTTTAATTAATGGATTGAGGTAAGCCGAGATTTAATTTAATTATTTTGATTTAAATTATGATAGGGATAATTAGAAATATTTAAAATTGGGATCCAATAATAATTTAAATTAAATTTAAATTAGTTAATTATACCTCCATATTACAGGCTTTGAAACGGGGATTCTGCTAAAATCCAATTTGAGAGAGATAAGGGTGATTAGCCGCGTAACAAAGACAAGATTTTTAGCTAAACATAGTCAATCTTGATCAACAAGAATCCGTACGCCGCACCAAATCGATTGCTCGCTCCAACCCCTCTTTCCGAAGTTCAAACAATCTTTCATTTCTGCCTTCTCCAAGAACACAGCCATGGCGCCGACCCCTAAATCTCATCTGGGTGTAATTTTTTTCACCTTCATCGCCTTCTTGGCTTCGATTTCTGAGCTTGCTGTGGCCGGATCCGATGCTCCCACTGTCTATGATATCCTCCCCCAATATGGGCTTCCGAGTGGCCTCTTACCTGACTCTGTCGTCGATTACTCCCTCTCTTCCGATGGTCAATTTGTTGTTCATTTGGCCAAACCCTGTTATATCAACTTCGATTACTTGGTTTATTACGACAAGACCATTACTGGGAAGCTCAAATACGGCTCCATCACTGATCTCGATGGTATCGAGGTTCGGAAATTCTTGATGTGGCTCGATGTGAAGGAAATCAGAGTCGATTTGCCGCCTTCTGATAACATCTACTTCCAAGTTGGATTTATCAATAAGAAGCTCGACATCGATCAGTTTAAGACCGTTCATTCATGCCGGGACGATGGTTTGGGCTCTTGTCTTGACTCCTGGAAACGGATTCTTGAGGTATATTCTTAGCCGCCATTCGCTATTGTCAAATCTTTCCTGCTTTGGATTATCTACTTTCGAATCTTGTTTAACTCATGGGTATCTGTTAGTAATCGCTCTGGTTTGTTCATGATTAGAACTCTTTGATTTTGGTACTTTTTATTGTTCTTCCATTTGATGCAGTAAAATTTGTTCAAGATGTTTGACAGATTCTTTGGACTTGAGAGAAATCTTGCATATAAAACACGATGGCGTGTATGAACTCGATTATTAAATGAAACCAGTTCAAGAGAATTTAGACCTTTGTTCTGTCAAAATTTATATTTGGTACCCCACATCGAATATTTCTTTTCAAGCGTTGATTTTTGGTGAGCGCATCATTCTGTGTCTTGAAGTTATCATCTTGTTGGGCAGCCTTTGTCATGACGTGATCAGGATTTTTTTGGTAGAAAATTGTTTGCTCATCTTTTTAAATAGGCAATGAACGAATTTATTGACCAAAACACATAAACGATATACAAAAAGGAGAAGGAATAACTCCAAATGGTCAAGGGAATTACGAAAAGGACTTCCACCCAAGGGAAAATTGTTTGGTTGTCATTCAGGATGTTTGATGGCTTTGATCCAATTTTATAGAACCAAACCATTTTGAAGCATTTTAATGTCTATACCCCTTTTGAATTCCTTTGCTATAAGAAAATTGAACCTCTGAACAATAATCTGGACCTTGAGGAGCCTCGTCTTTCGCTCTTCTCAGTTCTCTGAAATGTTCTGAGATAACGTCAGTGTTTAATTAGTTTTTGACCTTCATATGAAGAAAATGAGGAATATGAACTCAAATTGGCTGATCTTGGCTCTGTCCAGGTTGATTCAGTTAAGTTTCGGCGAGTTGCATCACACCTTTATCGAGTTTAAATTATATTTCATAGTCATTAGGCTGCAACTGTCATATATTGTTATTCAGGACTTGTCACAACTTCAGTGAACAGGTGATCAGATTAAGCTAGACTGCCTTCATTTTGTCTCCTCTATTCTGTTGATGTTATTGTTTCAAATTCTGCTGATGTGATCTTCCAATGAAATGGCCATTTTGGTTGATCGATAATCCAATATGCTAGTTTCAACGAATCTCGTTCTTTAAATTTCATAGCTGCTTGGATTTGGATCAACTCATTGCACATGGCCACTCTGTTTCTCTCACTTATTGCTTGATCACATTGAAACTTCTCGAACATGTTGCTGTTAATTTATATTGGTCTTTGGCATTAGCTAGCTTATCCAGGGGGAATTGTGCAAGATATGCTCAATTACAGGGTTGCTTTGTCTTTTAAGCACCAATATGCTTCACTAGGTTCAAAAAGCTTACTCACTTGTTGCAAATAAGTTAAAAGAATGTTACAAAGTGAGTATGGTTGGAGAGTGATTCTATCATGCTAATACTTTTTCATTGGTGATCACAGCTCCCAACTCCAGTTGATGACATCCAGATGCTAGTCACCGAGTAGCTCTTCGTCCCTTGTCCGAGTTTTTGACCTTCTTGCTGCATTATCTAAATGATCAGAAGAAGAAGTTTAGTAGTTTTCGGTACGTGGTCTCAGTTTAGACGGCAAAATATGAATGTCTATCTTGGTAGACCTATGATGTAAGCCACTATGATGGTATGTTAAATATTAGGTGAGTCTTCTGTTTGATCCTCAGAAAAAGTGCCTAAAACATTGGCATTTGAGGAACTATAAACTGAATGGATATGAATGAGATGTGATATTAAATAGTAAGAATTTGCTCACGTTTTTTATACTACGTTGCTGCTTACTCGTTGAATATGATTTAAGATCACCAAAGAATCTCTTTTCTTTTTCAATTGTCTATGTTTCTTAGATTCTCTGAATTGTAGTCTTGAAATAGTTCATGGTGTTTGGTTGTGCTGCATGTTTCATCTTTATGGAGAATGAGATTTCTTTCAGATTCAATGGAATGGGGAATTATTTGACGATATTGGCTTATGTTTCATAAAGTTTTCTACTCAAGTCTCCATTAGTATCTAAATATTAGATGAATTCGTATTCAATCCAAATGGTAAGGATTATGTTGTGTTAGATCTGTTTGGGTTTATTATGTTAATGAGATTTTTATTATTAATGTAATATGTACGATGGATAAGTATTCTTTTTTAAAAAATAATTATAAAAAAAGAAATAACTTGACGACATGAGTTGGGTTGCGAGACCTATTCGAGTTATCTAGGTCCCAAAATTTTCAGTAGTGAAGTTAGGGTGGTGATCCATTCGACGTCGAGTTAGGTGTCAACCCAACTCCATCGATAGGTGATCACCAACAAAAAGAAAGAAAGATCGATAAAAGAATAAGAACCTTTGTATTTATTGGTAAGACGGTCATAAAGTAGAATTTTCTCGAAACTTAAAAAAGGGAAAAGAAAGTCATATTGTTGTATCGAACAAACAATTAAATTATAATAAAAATTATAGCATGTGGTTAATGTTGAGCAATGTCTGGAAAAGGGTTGTCAAATCATGTCTGGAATATCTCACTTTTCCGGTCACAAAGCTTTACCTTTCATCATCTTGCCTATAAAACGCACCTCCGTTGCCATTTCCACTCCCAAGCAGCTCAGCCACCCATTTCTCCCTCGAAATCAAAGCCAATTGCTGCAATGGAAAGCTACAGAGACATTTTCATTCAAGTGCAGACCACCAACAAGGACCAAACTTTCCCCAGAAGGAAGTTAATGGTGACGACGACAGAGGACACGAAAGACGACATCAATGAAAGAGCTGAAGCCTTTATCAGCCACTTCCATAATCAGCTCAACCGTCGTCCCTGGGAGACGATCCCACAAGCAAAGATCTGAACTATAAATCACCTTAGCCTTCTTGCAATGGCAACAAGTTCCTGGAGTTGCTTCGTTCCTTTTAATCTCCTTTGATTGATCATCATTTATATTCTAAGAACTTTATAGATGATCATAAATTTTCATTTCACAAGTAAAACCAGAAACCAACTAATCGTGACGACCCGTAAATCAAATGTTGTTTATATTGTAATGAAATGTTTATATTCACAAGGCATCTCTAAGATTATATAGTAATAGCATAAGATCCCCCACAAAATAAACAAACTAGTCTGAGATTGATTGATGGACAAGATTTACTTACAAGTATTTGCTTTCTGTTCATGAATGTAATGAAATG